TCCAGATTATCTGCTTGAAATGTTGTGGGTAAAGACCTAAAAGGGTAACCGCTCCAACGCAGATATCGTAAAGCATTTGGGAAGTCTGGACCGACTTTACTGAACTCCAAGTCACTGGAACAATATCCGCAGATGGAAAGAAATCTTTCTCAGACCTTTTATGAAAATATGCTGATTGAATGTGTTAGTGTGGAATAGCATACATCTTGTTTCTTTAGTACCCTGCAATCCAAAAGAAGTCGCCATGATCATGTCACACTAACTATAGATCCCCACACTTCAGCAGTCTGTTTTGCTTCATCAACTCCATCAACTGTGTCTCAAACACTTGCTTATCTGCTTCCATAGCTTGCTGCAGCTTAACCAACTTGTTTTGAACCTTCGAAACTTCACTGAAGTCTTCTTTCCTTTTCAGCTCAAACCTCATCTTGCGAAGCTGTTCTTTGTAGTAACCCTCCTCCATTTCTTTATCTTTCCACATAAAAAACTTTCATTTTGGACCTTCAGTTGACTTATTAAAAGGGAAAACCAGAATTAGGGTTAGGGTTGCGATTAATGAAAATGTGCACATTCCCAACTCAAAATAACAAATACGGTGTAAGTAAACAAAAGGAATACTCACCAAAGAGTTTTTGCAGTTCCAAAACCTGCGAGCTACATTATCGTCGGTCCAGACAGTCCTTTCCACGCTTATTGCATCTTGACAGTCGCAAGGTGGAGATGGTTCCTCATCACGAAGGCTTCCGATACGCAGGAGGTTGATCGATCGACTGGAGGAGGCAGACATTGCTCTAGTTATATCGATTGAGTGTAGAGTATTGGAAGGGAGGCAATGACCTAATTTGGGGTAACAATGTAGCGTCGATGGTTCAAATATAAGGTTCAATTAAGGAAGGTATCCACGTTATAAGATGACATGGTCAAATGGTTGTCCACATAAGCGAATACACGTCAGCAGTGACCCCTAAACTAGTAACATTTTCTCCCATTCCTTTAATTAGCCGGTATTTTCTAACATTAAAGATCAATTGAGCACAAAAAACTTTAGTGACTAAATGTGCAAATTGACCAAACATTGATGTGCTACGGTGTCAAAAACCCCTTATCGGATCCCCTGACCCTCCAGACCCGACAATTCAAACCGACCCATTCTCTTTCCTTGAGTTGTAGAAAGTAGAAACTAGAAAGGACGTCACAAAAAATAACCCAACACCAATTTACCCCACCCCCAAAATTTAATCCACCAGCAACACCCACCGCAACCTCGTCCTACCATAGCACCACCGTACGGCTCCGCATTCTACTTCCTCTTTTGCAATTCAGGTATGATGTATGAAGTTTGATTGTGTCTCTCCAGCTAATCAGGTTCGTCATCCTTCCATTCTTCATTCTCTCAAGACTTGTACTTTGGGCTTCAAGATTGATCCTGGGTGTATGTTTCATTTTGTGCTGAGTTGTAGGTAGGCATCATCACCCTTTGATTCAAGACTTTGATTTGCTTTAGATGAATTTTGTGCTACTTTCTATTGATGGATTAGGATTACTGTGGTCTTATTGTTATGCAGTTTTGTTTTCTGAAAGTTTTGTATAGTGGGGTTTCTATTTGTCACATTATTTCTTGGAAGATTTTGTACATGCTTGAGTTTAATGTTCGTAAATGATGGAATGAAGTGTTGGTAATCCGATCACCATACTTTCCTATCCTTTTTAACTCCATATCTCCCTCTTCTACATTCTTTGAAAAAAACAAGACTGGTGTAGCGATCCTTCTCCCTTCCTTAAGGCCTCTCGTGCTAAGATACATAAATAATGAATCATTGGATTGATAGACTAATTAATATGTCGTGTTGTATAGGTGTAAGAGAATATATAACTGCAACAGACACAACTGTTTGAGAAGCATCGTATGATACATACAATATATAACCATTTTTAAAGCTTGACCCGTGATTGTGGTGTTGAGACCTATTATGTAAAAATAAACAGGAGGATGATGATTAATAGAATAAAAAAGCATAGAAAAAGGATTTTGTATTGTATGTTAAAGCTAATCAAAGAAAAAAAATCACTTTCTCCAATCATCTTATCAGCTGAAACCTTCAAAGATCCCAGATACATTGACACAACCGTGTGGATGAACCGTTTCCTAGTAGGAAGGAAAAACAGTTTCGGGCTTATAATGCAATCTGTAAAGGAACATGTTAAGGTCTGTATTATCATAGATTACCCTGTTATATAAACCTTCAAAATTCCTGTTTGTTCTAATTATATATAATTTCAGGAAACACTGGTGAGCTTTACCATGAACAGTAACATACCCAGTTGACCAATCCTGCCCATTTTCCCAACATTTATCATCACATCAAGTAAACGAGATGCTATCTTATGATACCATATAATCATGCACTAGACACAAAAGTAGAATTCTAATTAAAATACTAATGTAACTAAATTTTATAAGCAACACTACACGATTTTCCCAAAAGGAACACTTTTAAAGAAAATGAATGGATTACAAATTATCTTGGAGGGAAAAATATCTTTTCGTTATAATTTAGGCAAATTGCAAGAGATAACAATTTAACTTACCTTTTTTACCAATATGAATGTCTCTTAACTTTTACCTATAATAACAACATATTTACAATTTTGTACTGATTATATAGCAACTTTTAACCTGGAACCTCTAAAGATGTAAGTATTACCAAAACCATTTTCATAATACAATAAAGGTTGCAGTCAAGACACATATGACCTGATTCTTAACTGCAATCTTATTGTTAACAAGATTACAGTTTGGGTTGATGCATAATAACTCAATGCAATTACCTTAAATCATAATTCCAAATACAAAGCATTATGCTACAAGACTAAAAAAAGAAAGTACAAGAATAATTGTTGATGATGGTTAGCCTTTTGAGGCAAACAACAGATTCGATCCATGTGAGAGGATGTTAGTATACACGAGCCTTTGGTGGGAAGTCTTGACCTCATCATCAAAAGTATTCATGTAAACCCATCTGTAGTCTAGTCAGACCTTCTAGTTCTCCTAGTATCTGCACATATTATATTCTGGATGACAAAAGGATCAACCATTTCCAAATTGTTTTGATATCTAGAAAACGATGCACATACATACATACATTTACATCAGACTCAAAGAAAGAAATAGCAACATACTTTCATGTATTTATGTAATAGAACATTATCCTCTGAAAAATCTACCGAATTATAGCATGGTACTCCAAATCTTTCTCTTATTAGAACATTATACTTTCTATTTGTAGTATAGCACTTTTAAATTTTCTTAATATAAAAGGATACCTTGAAATCTACCCAATTATAACATTGTACTTTAATTTTTTTTTATTATTATTAGAACATTATCCTTTGAAAATTCACCCAGGTGCTTTCAATATGTACTTATTAAAACATTATACTTTCAAAATCTACCCAATTATAGCATTGTACTTTCCTTTTAATTTCTTATTGGAGCCCTATATTTGAAATTCTACCCATCTATAACATTGTACTTCATATTTTTATTCATTGGAACATTATACTTTAAAAATGTACCCAACTACGGCATATATTATACTTTTAATTTTTGCTCATTATATCATTATACTTTGAAAAATCTACCCAACCATTGTTGGAAATCAGGCCCTGTATACACACTTCACTGCAGCAACAAAAAATATGTATTACTCAGTTATAATACGTGAGAAATATGTAGAGGAAGAAAGAAGTGATTTTTGACTCAAAAACGGCTGCATTCTATTCATGAAAGGAGAGGATTTTATAGCCTATAAAACCTAACAGAACTAAACAAGTATAGGCCCACGTTTTTCTGTTTTACAGCAACAAAACTAACACTCAAAAATCCCCAAAATACCTGGTCCACATGACCCATTCAACCCCATTAACCTACTACTTTTTATTCAATTCAAATACTAAACAAAAACTTAACTAACCTGTCAAGATTAAACCCAATAACCATTGCATTGTACTTTTAACTTTTTCTCATTAGAGCATTATACTTTGAAAAATCTACTCAATTATAGCATTGTACTTTAAATTTTCAGTTTTTTTCTTATTAGAACATTATACTTTAAGTGTTTAACAAAGCTACCCAATCAAAGAAGTGAAATTGCTTTGTATTTTAATGCCACTGCTATAAACGGGTATATATTTCTTAGTACAATGCTTTAACAGGAAGAAATGAAAGTAGGATGCTATGATAAACAAACAAACGAAAGTGTGTTGCTATTTCATGCTTCTTAGTTCTTACCCCATTCATACATACAATATGTGCTTGTACATAAGAGAGACGGATAGAGAGAAATTTACATGAGTTTGTGTTTCATTCATTTGTCAGCATCTCTTTTCTGCAAAACAACTGAATTTAAGTTTTCATGAGAAAAGATTAAGAGAAGAGAAGGAAAGTAAGATAAACCACGTTAAATGAAGAAATAATACACCGACCTTCAGTGACCCAACTCCAGGTGAATGAAATTGTGCAAACTCAAGATTTTGAAACAATTATTTATAAATAGAAACCCATGGGAATGATGAAATAATAAAATGGCATCAGATAATAAGTACATTTTGCCTATACAAACACCAAATTAATTTCAATTAACAAATGTTAACCCCAGTTGCTAAGATTGTTGAAGAAGGACAAAATCAATGCAATATCCCATCCTCCATGTTGATATCACCATAGCACCTTCCTGAAAGAAATCAATGATATGATCAAATCATTTTTTGACACATATATGTTAACAATATTAATCCAAGGGAAAAACAGATACCATCTCTACCCATGATTAGATCCAAAGCCAAATATTCCACAAGGAACTGTCATGTTTCATGGCCTGAGATCATGCCACCACACATGTCCAGTTGTATCAACACACACACACACACCCGGATAAGTTTGTCAATGTTGAGACTCTGATCACCACAAGCACATTAGAGTATTCTTGATAGCATCCTGATCACCTATAGAAATTCAAAAAACCTCTATATTATAATTAAAAGTAAAAAGAAAAACTTTTTCATATCAGACACTTGCTCATTTTTCTGGATGTCATCTTGGACCACTGTAGTGTTTTTCCTTGTATTTTCCAAAAGATATGTGTGTGTGTGTGTATGTGTGTGTGTGTATATATATATATATATATATATATATATATATATATTAAAGGCAAGAATCAATTAGATGGTATATCGATCGCTTCCTGTTCATTGGAATTCCTGATTGCAGGAAATGGTTTATATGTTAGAACCAATAGCATTATAGCAACACGAATACAATTTCAAACGCAGAAAATGGAAAAAGGGAATAATTTTTTAGATGTTCCATAATTTGCATGAAACCCATAACGATTAACATTAATACTCTATGATATGCATGAAACATAAACGTCATGGCCGGTTTTTAGAACTCGGATAAGGCTCCACATTTAAGACAGATGATGAATAAGATACTCTACGGGTTCTTCTTGTATATAATAGATCTTGTATTTTTTTTTAATAGAACTGTAGATTTTTTGCTGATATATATACCATTGTCATATCAATTTTAAAACTCAAATCAAAGTAAGATGATATATCGATAACATAGAGAGTACCTATTACAATAATTCCTTTTTAAATTGGCTTTTTTCCAAGCTTCTCAAAAATCATCCCACCACTACGTAGCAGGACGTATCATAGTATATTGAAGTTTGTATCTCAGATGTAAACCCACACAACTCGAGAAGCTCTCTCGACCCAACTATACACAGACCATTCAATAAAAGAATGCTTTGCGGAAGATGCCTTATGATTGTACCTTCTATAGCTAACTCTTTCAAACATTCTAGACATCCAACTTCCTTAGGTAACTTCTCAAGCAATGAACAATCATAAAGTAGGAGAGATTCCAAATGTCTCAACATACAAATGCTATCCGGAAGACATTCAATAGGTGTATGCGACAAATCTAGCTTCTCTAAAAATTCTAATTGGCCAAGATCCACCGGTAACTTTTGAAGACGCAAACACGAAATTTTTTTGAGAGATTTCAGATTTTTCAACATACAAATGCTATCCGGAAGACGTTCAATATCTGTATCTGACAAATGTAGCTTCTCCAAACATTCTAATTGGCCAAGATTTTCTGGTAACTTTTGAAGACTCAAACATGAAATAATTTTGAGAGATTTCAGATGTTTCAACATACAAATGCTATCCGGAAGATGCTTAATCTCTGTATACGATAAAACTAGCTCCTCGAGACATTCTAACTTATATAGGTCCTTGGGCACCTCCAGAATACTGCCTTCTATTTTAAGCTTTCTCAAACGTTGTAACCCACAAATACTTCTTGAAAACGTCTCAAGGTTTGTGCAAGCACACATACCTAGAGAAATAAGCATCTCAAGATTTCTGGTGAATGAGGGTCGATCTTCTCTATAATAAGAGCTAAACTGAAACTTTGTAAAGCTATTTTCGGGATGAAGTGGGCAGCTTTTTAGGGACTTCACAGTCAGATCTAATAAAGCTAAAGGACCAACCTCAAGTGATTCATCAACACCACAAGAAGTATAATCTTCTACCTTAAACGAAAAATATCCAAACCCCAGAGTACTAAAGTGTAAGTGAACAAGCTTTTTCATATTACCGATGGGAGGGCCAAGTTCTACCAAATTATAACATCTGTCAAGATCCAACCTCTCGAGATTTGGAGTCAGTCTAAGGTCAAAGGTTCTCAACTTTGAATGACTAACATTAAGGTTGGAGAGCATTTGACATTCATCAGCAATGGTAAGTTCTTCCAGGCAATAATTTTTACTAAGATCTAGATTCCTGAGATTTGGAGTCTGCCCAATGTCAAGGGTCCTCAACTTTGAATTTGTGATTACCAAAGATTGAAGATTTAGGCATCTATTGGGCATCTGAAGTTTTTCCAAATTGTTGCAAGAGTTTGAGAGTTTGAGAGTCTGCCCAATAATCAACTCTTCGAGATTTCGTGCCAGCCTAAGGTCAAGGGTCCTGATTAACTTTGAACCTCCGAGGTTGACATATACGAGCTTTAAACATTCAACAGGCATGTGAAGTTCTACCAAATTAGAACAGTTTTGAAGAGTCAAGGTCTCAAGATTCGGAGTAAGCCCAAGGTCAAGGGTACTCAACATTGAACTACTGAGGTCCAGGATTCTCAGCTTGTTAAGAGCCTAAGATTAGAAAAAAGCAAGATGAATGTTGGTGTAACAAGAAAACAATCAATATAATATTTCATGCAAAACAATCAATCAACCATAATTCTACCTTTCTTTCTCCCCCTTCCCAAAGTTGTACGATTTTACTTCTAGCCATCTCAAGTGAAACAAGCTTACTTGTTTGAAATGTTATGGGTAAAGACCTAAAAGGGTAACCTGTGATATGCAGATATTGTAAAGCATTTGGAAATTCTGGGTTGACTATATTAAATTGATAAGGAGAAGCTCCCACAAAAAGAATTCTAAGTTTCTTCATCTTTCTAAGACCTTTCATATCAAATTCCCGATTGCTATTTTGAATGTCGAATCGTAAGCACCTTGTCACTTTAGTACCCTGTAATTCAAAAGATATCATTGTGAATCTTGTTGTAACAAATGAAAACGTTTTAGTTTTTCCTAACTTATAAAAAAAATTAATCCTTACCAAATTGTTAACCAATACATTTCTAATTTCTTCACAAATCCACAATCGGGTATGTTTGTGAGGTTTATCTGGGTGCGAGCGGCGAACAATATTTCTGCCCATTTCTTCAAGATGGTCATGCATGCCCACATACTTGTATTTATCGAAAATACCATAATAACTAGTTATGAGCGATTTTTGCTCAAGAACTCTTAATCCATTTCTAGCATGAAACCCACAGCATTCAAGTGCTTTGATTGCATCATCTTTCCGCCAACCTTTCATGATGCATGCAACATCTAGAAACATTTCCTTGTAATCCTCCTCTAGGGCGATATAGCTTAGTTCCAATTTTTTCAGAGTCTCTGTTAATGGAATCGTTTTTAGTCGTTCTAGGGCATCTATCCATTCAAGCTCATTCTTACCACAAAGAAACGAACCCAAAACTCTGATAGTTAACGGAAGACCAGCAGCATAACGTACAACTTGTCTTGATAGATTTTCATACTTTTGAATTGGAACCTCTCTCCCAAAAGCATACATATTGAAAAGGCAAATTGCTTCCTTATCCGATAACAAATTGACATCACGAATGAGCTCCACCCTGTGTGCTACCAGGACTTGCTCGTCTCTTGTTGTGATTATGATTCTACTTCCTGGCTTGAACCAATTAAGCTCACCGGCTAACGCCTCAAGCTGGTCTATATGATCCACATCATCTAGAACAACAAGAACCTTTTTATCACGGAGCCTCCTCTTCATCAAGTACTTCCCGTCAGAAATACTACTTACACGTATGTCTTCATTTAAGACGTCTGAAAGGACTTGCTTTTGCAAAGACTTTAAACCAGAGAAAGAAACATTTTCCCTTACATTTTCAACAAAGCTTTTACCTTCAAACTGAAAGGATATGTAATCAAAAACAGCTCTTGCTAAAGTTGTCTTTCCGCCACCTCCCATTCCCTTGATCCCAATCATTCGGACATCATCACAACCAATTCCTATAGATGATACAAGATCTTTGATCCTGGTCTCCATTCCTACTAACTTTTCGTCAATGTTGAAACTGATGGAACGTAATTCTAGTGAAAGCTCTTCAACTATTTTTTGGATGACTTTAGCTTCATGCCTGTATTTAAAAAATGATTCAATTAGCCTAATTAATTAAAACCCCACATGACCGGTTGCTTTCAGATCTATAATACAATCCGATATTAAAAAAATAAAAAGTAGTTGTATAATCATATTTTATGGTTATTCTTTGGACAAGACTCAAACCGAGGTAAAAAAATTAGACAATCTAAGATCCCATGTTGGGGCCTTTTACATCAAGGTTATACGCTAGATCAGATATAAACAAAATACAAGAATATTGAATAGATCTAATTAAGGAATTACCCATCAGCAGTCTTCTTCAACTCCCACCCCGCAAGATCCGCTGCTTCTTTCAGAGCCACTCTCCATTTCCCAGCAGCCTCTTCCATTTCGTACTTGGCAAATGCTTCTCCAACTGCCCCACTTTGTTTTCTGACTTCGGAGGGTTCCACATCATAGAAGACAGGGTATGCAGTTTGCTCTGTCGTCCTATGGCACTCCATTATCTTCAGAAGCTCATCCAAGCACCAAGATGAAGAGGCATAGTTCTTGGAGAAAACAATGATGTAGAATTTTGAATCTTCAATCGATCCGATGAGCTCATCACTAATCTTTTTCCCTTTTTTGATTTTCTCATCGTCCTTGTAAGTATGAATGCTTTTGTTCTGAAGAGCATGATAAAGATGATCAACGAAGTTCGTACGAGTATCTTCGCCCCTGAAACTCAAAAATACATCATACTTAAAGCTCTTGTGAACGGATGAAGTTGAAGAGGACGCCATTGAGATGAAGGATCGATCCTATAAAATCAAATCTTTGTTGGGCAAAGATTATGTGAACGATCGTGAAGAAATTTGGATGAGATGAACGGGGATGGTCAAAGAAATAATGGATAATGTGAAAAGGTGAGGGGTGTGGTTGGAAAACTTTGGAAATTCGGTGGAGAAAGTCAAACCACTTTTTTACTAAGGAGCAGCAGAATTTACTTATCTGAACAATTTAAAAATCAGGGAACGTCTCCACTGTCGACTTACAAAATTGGCAAAAGTAAATTGTTTTATAAGGTTCTTAAAGAATGAGGCAATTTAATTATTTAAATAAATTTGAACTCTTAGAATCCTCTAATAAAAATAAAGAATGGATTTTATTTGTTAATTTTGCTAGACCGGAATTCTCAGGAGTGTTTGGACTTGCGATTTAAAAGAGGGCCCAAAAAGAGAGGCGGAAGAATCGTTTCAGGAATCAAATTTTGCAAGCGGTCAAAAAGAGGGCAGGAGCGACCAAAAAAGGGAAATCGGTATGCAAGCTGTCCATTAGGATTTAAGTCTTCCAAATCCAAGGTCTCAAAGTCTCAACCCTTAGAAATCAGCGACTTCTGTATTAAAAAGGTTTAACCACACTCAAAGTTGACAAAATTGCAAAAATTGTCTCTATGGTTGGTAAATTTATACGCTTTTGGTCCAAAACGAAACTTTGGTGTACCACTGGTCCAAAATTGAATTTTTTTTTATTGTTTTTGGTCCCTCATACTAACTTCCATCCATATATGTCGTTAGCTGCAATAAAGACGAGAGTATTTTCGTCTTTCCACCTACAGGGACCATTTTTGCAACCTGTTTCCAAAAAAATCATGAAAACCTCCAACAAGTTCTTTGAATCTTGAAGATTGGTTACACACTTCTCCTCCTGCTGATATCTACGTTCTTGTGTAACTTTTAGTTTTGCAAACGATTCAAAATCCAGATTTTGATTGTGATAAAACTAACACGATCCCTTTGGAGAATTAGGTTTCAAGAAATCGTCCCTTTAAACACTGGACGGAGAAGAAGACAATGGTCCGGCTAAAATATGGCAATCCCTCAAACAAAGAAGTTAAATAGTCTTCCCAGAACGACCGACAGATACCATCTCTTCACTAGTTCCTAATCCAGTCGTAAAGTTAGATTCAGGTTTCAAAGGATCCGTAACACAAAAGCCCTCATCATTTCTCCACCGGTGTTCTTCTCAATCACAGAGTCGTAGCATGAGGGAAATCATGCATCCCTTTCTGTTTCAATGGTCAATGGCCCCAAAACGGTCCCTGTAGGTGGAAAGACGAAAATACTGTCGTCTTTATTGCAGCTAATGGCATATATGGATGGAAGTTAGTGTGAGGGACCAAAAACAATAAAAAAAATCCAATTTTGGACCGGCGGTGCATCAAGGTTTCGTTTTGGACCAAAAACACATAAATTTGCCAACCACAGGGACCATTTTTGCAATTTTGTCCTCAAAGTTTTCACATCACTAATTAGGTATGACTTACAATTCAATTTTGTGTTTTTTGTTTATTTTGCATCTCTATTTATCTAGTTCATTGTAATTTGTCTTCAATCTTTAGTCTTTTTTAAGTATACTAATTTGTAATCTAAGTATTTTGTCATTGAAGTAGGATGTCTTTTTCTTTTGAATTATTGTTTGGAATATGCTATATGTCAAATGTTACAAAAAAAATCTGAAAATTTTAATATTAATTGTTTGGAATCCGTCTAGAATCCTTCTTAAATATTCTTTGGAAATAAGAAATTAGGAAATAGTAATCGGTCTTGACTCTCGCAGTCACAACACGACATAGTGAAAATGAAAAATGTGATGTGATTTCCCTGTCGGGTGTTGCTATTGGCACCCGATTTAGAAGTCATAAACCACTTTTAATGGTCAAAACCTCTTTTGACTTGGATTAAATAACCCTTATTGGACTTGAGATAATAATTCCATATTATTATATATTATTATTTGCAATATTGTTATTCGAATGGTATACAAATTTTTCTTTCGTATCGCATCAAACAATTACTTTATTAAACATTACCCTTTCTAGTTAAAGTTTATTTTCAATTTATATTCTTTTGTATTTTAATTATTACTTCGATCCTTATTATTTCAATTTTTCAATTGTCATATATATATATATAGACACACCTTAATAAACATTTAGCCTCAAATGCTGAATTTTAAGAGGTACACCCCTTAAAGCAACATTTACAACAAGTTTATGCAATCAGATGTTATCCGGCTCCCGTCAACATGGTGAATTAGTCAACAACTTTAAACCAACATTTCCCTTAATTTCAGCCATTTGAATCGGTCAAAATCAATTAAATTAGTTGAATTGGGCAACGCCTTACATCATCCTCTCATCCTTCCCCTATATGTTACATCTCAGCACCCTTATACTTCCCCATTCTCCATAAACCCTACACTCCACCGCCACCACCACTCAATCCTTCCGTTATCACTCATTGCACATGTCGCCAAGCAACATTAATCAAATGTATCAACCCTTTGATTTTATCGGGTGAAATTTCGTTCCTTTAGTTTATGTTGTATAAACCCTTTGATTTCCCCATATCTGTATTAAATATGAAGTAGGTGGAGAGGGGATCTTAAACCATTTTTCTATTTATGTCGTCTCTGCTTATATGTGTATATGATATGGTTCTCCGGCCATATAACGAAGGTTCTTGAAACAAAAATTGTCGATTCTGATAATTTCTCTGACCACCATTATGCTTCTCTATTTCTATCAAAGCTTAATCCATCACCTATTACTCGAATCTTTGCTTGCTTCCCTGCATTCAACACCATACATCTCTCTGGTCTTCTCCTGTTTCCCATATATATCGTGTCTCACCATTGATTCAAATTTTGAGCCAACGACAGCTCCACCAAGCTCCACCACCATCACCGTTGCCTTCAACCACAAGCGCTATTATCATCTTCACTGCATTAAACCAAAAAATCTAACCACATCGACCTGAACAACCTCCACCATTCACGTTGATTCCCATCTTGATTTCCTTTTCTCTCCCTTTCCCCTCTATAAAAAAACCCAACCACTGCCCCACTTATTTGTATACTCTCACAAGCACTGCAAAATCAAATATATGAAGGCACATCCGTCGGGTCTAGGTACAAGATTCAAGATCTGATTTCATATCTTATATTTTAATTTGGTATTTTTTTTGGAAACTGCAGGGAAACATTTATTCACCAAATTGGTTCGATTTAGAAGAATAAGTCGATTTGTAGGTATCTCTTTCTGAAGAAGAAGTCGATTTGTAGGTCCATCTCTCTATCTTAAAGTTACCTCCTAAACCCCCTGATATATGTATATATATATATATATATATATATATATATATATATATATATATATATATGTGTGTGTGTGTGTGTGTGTTTTCATCCTCAAATATAATATTTTGAAAAAAAACCCACATTTGATCTTGGCAAATTGGCGGGGATAAACGACTTTCTTTTTATCTTTAACATTTTTGTTGGTTTTCTAGGGATTATACATGTAACTATCAGTCTGTCATCCACATTGGTTATTGATACTGTTGGCTTTTCACAAGCCTGTATCAAGACTATGACAATGAAACAGAAGCAGGGATAAAACAGGGAGAAAACAGGGGGGAAGATACTTAAAGCTTATAGCTTTTTATTCACTGAATTGAGAAAGGAGGTGATAACCTCAACGTACATACTGCTAAGCTATTTAAACTCAAAAATGCTAAAAAGACTGCAACTACCCCTAGTGGCATAAGACCCGGATTCAACAGCCCACATGGCTTTGAATTATTCAAAACATAATAAAAACATTACATAAAACAATTTTAAACTAATTTCTGAATTATTCCAACACTTTCCTCCTTAATTCAGAAATCATATCTTCACTACTCCAAGGAGACTTCGCATCTCCTCAAACTTCAATCTTCCCAATGACTTGGTTAGGACATCAGCTTTTTGTTCCTTGCTGCAAACATGTGTGACTGAAATGTCCCCATTCTCAACACATTCTCAGATGAAATGGAACCGGATATCTATGTGCTTGCTTCTGCCATGGAAAACTGGGTTCTTCATTAAATCTAGTGAGGATTTGTTGTCAACCTTTAGTTCAACAAATGGCAACTTCTGTCCGGTTATCTGACTGAGTAGTCTTCTAAGCCAAATTCCTTGACAGGCTGCCATGGTGGCAGCCATAAATTCTGCTTCACAGGTAGAGAGTGCCACACACCTCTGTTTTTGTGATGCCCATGTGATCAAGTTCTCATTCACATAGAACGTCATGCCTCCTGTGCTTCTTCGATCATTGACATCATTTGCTAAGTCACTATCCGTGTACCCATTTAGTGTGACATTTTCTTTTCCTCTTAAGTACTTCAGACCAAAATTCAATGTGCCCTTTATGTATCTTAAGATACCCTTCACTGCCTGTAGGTGATTCACAGTTGGCTTCTCCATAAATCGACTTACAATTCCCACAGCAAAGGATATGTTTGGCCTGGTATGAGTTAGATACCTCAGTCCACCAACTATGCTTCGATACTCTGTGGGATTCACCAATTCAGATTCATCTTCTTTCCAGAGTTTGAGCTTCTGTTCCATAGGGGTCTTTGTGGGATTACAATCTTGCATACCTGTTTTGATAAGCAAGTTTTTGGCATATGACTCCTGTTTCAGAGTAATCCCATCTCCTATTTGGCTCACTTCAATTCCCAAATAATGAGTCAAGAGTCCCAAATCACTCATTTCAAACTTGGTATTCATGTCCTTTTTGAATATTTGGACACTTTTAGGGCAGCTTCCTGTCACAAGCAGGTCATCAACATACACTCCTACAATTAAAGTATTCCCTTCATACCTCTTGGTGTAGACTGAGTACTCATGGGCACATCTTGTGAAGTCAATGTTCTTCAGGTGTCGATCAAGGCAAGCATTCCAAGCCCTAGGAGCTTGTTTGAGCCCATAAAGGGCTTTAGATAATTTGAACACCTTATGAGCTTGGCCCTTCTTCTGATAACCTTCTGGTTGGAAAACGTAGACCTCTTCTTCCAGGTTTCCATTTAAGAATGCCGATTTGACATCCAGATGGTGAACCTTCCACCCATTTGAACCTGCTAGGGCTAGGATGAGGCGAATTGTGTCAATTATGGCCACTA